TGAGGGAGGGCTGAGCCCAAGGACCTATGCTGCCATGAAAATAGTTGCTTCTAGCTACCCATGGAAACTTTGCATGTTCATTAACAAATATGCATTGTATCCCTGCTGTATGCAATGTACCGTGTACCATGCTGTGGACAGAACAGGCAAAACTGCCTGTCCTTGGTGAGTTTATATTCCATGTGAAGGGGAAAATGGGCAGACATAAAACAAGTGCTGGCAATGGGAAAAAACAGAGAGCTTCAAAGGGAATAAAAAGTTCTAGAATGGCTGGTTTAAAACTTCAGTGGATAAGAAGGGCTCACTGGGGATGTGAACCAGAAATTTTAATTGTTTGTGATATGGTCTTTGAGACAGTCTCATTATGTAATACTGGCCAGCATAGAATTCTCTGTGTAGACCAGACTAGCCTCAAACTCACAGTCTCTTTGCCTCTGTCACTCAAATGCTGAGTGGCTTATCTTATTATGGTTTTGTTTGCCTAATAGGGAAAGTTCAGAGTAAGGCAAAGGTTGGGGTGGCAGCTGTAAGATGTCACCAGGGACCTAGCCTCCTGCTTTCCTTTCATAGTCCCTAGCAGATGGTGTTTGTGTTCACATTTGTGAAGTGTTTTCTGTATCTCCAGGTAACCGTGTTTGCTATTAGGCAAGGAAGAAGACAGTGGGGAGGGCATCCCACTGTGTAACCCAGGCTAGTCTTGAATGTTCAGTCCTCCTTTCTCAGCCCCCTGCGTGCTGAGCTGGCAGACACAGCCACACCTAGCTGGGATTTGTCTCTAATGCATGGGGCTCGCTGCCTTACATCTCACCAGCCAGAACTGTGTTGGGGATCACTTCCTGCTCCGAAGACTCTGGGGAAAACTGTCTTCTGTAGTTGAGCAAGGGCTGTCTGGAAGCAGACCTCTGTTATCAAAAAGGTGGGGTTGTTTGCAATGGCTTCTAAGAGTATTTGAGTGGAAACAAGTGTGAGCTGCATGTACCTTCTAGCTTGGATGAATTGACACAGATGCGTCACCCACCGTGGTCCTACAATTTACCCCTCTTCTATTTGCCCAGCAATGAAAAAAAAATTACTACTTATAAAATGTGAAGCTTGGAGAGAACAAAATGATTTGTGCGGAGGAGGTGGTTGTGAATACTGGTTCTATTTGGATTCTAGTGCCCTGACCTGCACTCCCTGCTGTCACCTGGAGGCCACCCATCAGGATGGGTGTTCTCTGTGGTGATCATACCCCCCCCCCCTCGCCCCATGCAAGCCAGGGCGCCACAGCTCCACAGCACCTCTGCAGCTTATAAACAGCCAGCATGGTGTTACTCATCTTCCTTCCTGCATCCAGAGTCACAACATCCTCTGGGATACTTGGTCCTTTGGTTAGATTTTCCTAACCCTGAATATTTGGCTGATTGACTGAGCAGTGTTGGCTAATCTTCTGCAATCTCAAACCACCCTCCTCCCACCCCTGTTTCTTCTTTCATGTCACTGTAAGTAACCAGGAGGTCAAAGACAAAATGCTTTGAGATGGCTTCCTAGTAGTTGGGGAAACTTTACTGCCTCCTTCTCGTTCCCCTCCCCAGGCAGTTCTCTGTGAGATTCTCCTCTGTCCTTGGGACTGTCTCTTAAAATTAGTTTCTTTTCCTTAACAGTTTTGAACAGTCACACACTGGTAATGTCCAGAAGATTTTAGAGTAAAGTCCTGGCTCCCGTTGTCTCACAGCTCCTCCCCATGTTCCACTTTGTCCCTCACTTTATCTTCAGTCTCCCAGCACCTCCTGTTAGTTTTTTTACATGACCTTCAAAAGTTTTTCTTTTCAGTAGAACAAATATGTTCCCAGTTTTCTTTATTGCTTTTCTAAAAAAAAGTAAAAGAGCCATGTCTACAGGTTTTTAAACCTATTGATTAATCTTGGAGATCTTTCCAGGATAGTGTTAACAGTTCACAACAGGGCTTCTTCTGCTTCCGCTTCTGCTTCATTCTTAAGCTGGACAGTACTAAAACTCTCCTTGAAGCACAGACCTGGCTATGCCCCTTTTAAAAATACAGATCAGCTCTCTGCTGGGTAGTTTTATTTCAACTGGACACAAGCTAGTCATCTGAGAAGATGGAGCCTCAGTTGAGAAAATGCCTCCACAAGATTAGGCCATAGGCAAGTCTGTAGAGCAGGGGTTTTTTTTGTTTGTTTGTTTTTTGTTTTTTTTTTTTTTTTAGTTAGTGATTGATGGGGAAGGGCCCAGTTCATTGTGGGTGGGGCCACCCCTGGGTTGGTGGTCCTGAGTTCTATAGGAAAGCATGATGAACAAGCCAGTAAACAGCATTCTTCCATGGCCCCTGCATCAGCCCTTGCCTTCAGGTTCCTGTCCTGTGTGTTGGATGAGACTGTTTTATAGAACTGTAAGTGAAATACACCCTTTTCTCCCCAAGTTAGTTACTTTTGTGTTCATCACCGTAATAGTAACTGTAACTAAAGCCATCTCTCTTACCTTTACTCTGTACAGTACTTCATTAGTCATCGCTGTTGTCTGGGACCTATCCCTTTATTTCTGAGCATTTTGTCAGTGTTAATGTCTTTGGATTTTAGTATTCTGGGTCATTTTTACACAGCTTTGAGGTCTTGGCCATAAGGGGGGAGGAGACTGAAAGCTGGACACTCTTGAGACACTGCTTATGGTCCTGTGGACTGCTGTGGCCTTGGTGAAAGCAGATTAGCAGGGCTCAAATATCTGTGTAATTTGACAGTTTAATGTTCCACATAGTGCCTGTTATGGTAGCACATGCCAGTTAGATGTGCTGAAGGTGCAAAGGCAGGGGGATCCTGAGTCTCACTTGTAGGGCTTTTACCTGGAGTAGTATTGGCAGATACACTGGGGGCATTTATAAAGGTGCTGTTGAGGACTGTTTGTGTACCCTCAGATGTATGTGTTTAAATCTGGTGTCTAATGTGATGGAATCAGGAAGAAGCTGTTGGGAGGTGAAGAATGAGATTAGTGTCCTTAAGGATGAGGCTCCAGGGAGCTGCCTTGTCTCTGCTACCAAGTGGGGTTCATAGAGAAGGGTTCCTTCCATCCGTGGCCCAGGAAATGGCCAGATACCTGTCCTACTAACACTTTGATCCTGGGCTTCTCAGCTTCCAGAATGAGGAGAAACAGACTTCCCTGTTTCATTACAGCCACCACTACAGACTGAGACAAGATTTCATCATTCATCACATGGTGCTGTTCTAGTAGCACAAGTTACAAATACAGCAAGTAACCAACAAGATAACGTGCCTAAGTGTATTACATGTACGAAGTATGAAATGCTGTCACTCGTAACACACTAGTAGTCTCCAGCCAAGGTGCCTCAGGCAGCATCGATCGTCCATGAGTGTTGTGATGAGAACACTGTTCAGAACCTAGGATGCAGTGACGTCATGCCATACCTCATGGATGAATGCTGCTGCCTCAGGCTCATTACATGTTGAGTTTAGAATTAATATTTGACCTGTTGTGAGTCTAAAACCTATTACTAGTTTTTGCCACTCCTGCCCCTGACCCCATATGAGGGTTAGAGCAGTTTTAAGAAGCCGAGCTCTGTTTACACTGCTCTGGATTTTGGCATGTGTTGCCTGGGTTAGTAGGCCTGTTGGCCATTGCTTTATGAGCTCAAAGTTTAGGACTTTTTATATTCAGGAAGTGGATCATGAAAGACCTGCCCCGAAGTGTGCTTGGTCCCTCAGGGCAGAGTGAGGATTACAAAAGGAGGATATAAGGCAGGAGAATGCCACTGAGTGTTTTAAAGCACGCCAGCTGTCAGACCTTGATCAAACACTGGGGAACCACTCTTGACCTTGGTTTTCTTAACTGTAAAACAGAAGCAATAAAATCACTTTCTTAGTTTTCAAGCTGAGTGAGTAAATTTTTTTTGCCCTCAGGTTAAAACAATATAATAACATTTCTGAAACTAAGTATCCCATGTGAGGGAAAACAGTCATCTTTTTCAGAAATGAAAGATGGCTTCATTATCTATTTGGATTTATACCATCACACAATAATCTCAGATTCATGCATATGAGGTTATCGATGTGTTGTTTGGTAGCATTTTGTATGTATCTGGATAACTGCCCCGTCCTGTTAGTCAGTGTTGACCCAGTGATCAGAGAGCCATTTGCTTGTAGCATATTACAGATTTCCAGCTTCAGAGTCACACACTACTGGTGATTTCTAAGAGGATCTGGGGAGAGAGGTAGAGGAAATCTGTGTGAGAATTTGTTCTTCAAGCTTTGGGCTGTTTGTTCATTCCTTACATTTTTATTTTAAATGCTTCTTCTTCAGTCACTTTGAAAAGGCAGCCATGTTTTATGTGTAATATGTTTAAGACATGTTTAAAACATTGAATATTGGCTTCCCACCATTTGAGGACCTGCTGATGCAGCTGAAGCCGCTGAGGAACACACCTGACCCCTAGTGACTGGAGAAGGAACCATGGCGGGTCGGAGGAATAAAAAGGGTTAAGACAGAGTTGGCAGAAAGATGTTTGTGGCTTAGTCTCACCCAGAAGTAAGGAGTGGTGTTTCCTCTTGTGAACTGATGAAAGAATTATTTCCTGGTCATGAATCTAGCTGTGGAATATCCAAGAGGAATAGCAGGATTGCTGCTCTCATTGGTCACTGAAGTGTCCATCCCAGATGGGATATGCGTGGCTTACAGTGACCCTCCAAATGGTCCTAGGCTGTGGGAGCTTACCTGATTGTAAATGTCAGCTTCTTGCACGGTGGGAGATGGGGAGTGGCCCATCCTATCTCACCTGTCCCCTCATCCTCTGTCTTTGCAGGTGTCAGGGTTGAGCCTCAGCCTTCTGGGATGTCTGGGTGTGGGAGTCATGGCATTAGAGCTGGCTCAGTCCTGACCTAGACTGACATTGAGGGCAGTGTGCATATTCTGTCTCACCACGGGGAATTTAGAATAGGCTCATCTGCAAATGCACGCATCACGTAAGCATCTCTCTGTGTTTATTTTCTCTCTAGATCAAGAAGAAGCAGCAGGATGTGGTTAGATTTCTGGAAGCCAACAAGATAGAGTTCGAGGAGGTGGACATTACCATGTCAGAAGAACAGAGGGAGTGGATGTACAAAAACATTCCCCCTGAGAAGAAGCCTGCGCAGGGCAACCCTCTGCCACCTCAGATATTTAATGGGGATCGATACTGTGGAGTAAGTGACTGCACCGCTCCCCATACTCTTTCCCTTTGTTACCCATAATGCTCTGGGTATGTAACCCAGGGCACATTTGGATCCTTTACAGTAAAGGCAGCAGCTTTGGGCAGCACCTGTTCAGGGTCACAGGGCTAGCAGAGAGTTGGAGCTCAGAGCATTTGCAAATTCAGCAGCACAGACGGGGGCTGTTAGAGAATTGTGTGGTGTGTAATGGAGTTCAAGGGTGTCTGTCAGTCTTCCCTCTCTGCTTTGGAAGGGAAGTGGAGAGCATGTGTTTATTGTGTTCTGACTTTTCAAGCATGTCTCTTCATTAAAACATTTGGGGGCCAGACTGAAGAAGTAATTATTCTTGAATCATTATTCCCCACTGATAGCTGATTAGAAAACAGAATTCATATTCAAAAAAGATTATCAGCAGAGGGATTGCTGTGAATATCTGAAATCTGTTTTGGTGCCTTCCTGCTGGGTGGCATATGAGAAAGTGAAGTCGGTTTGTCTAGTTATCCACCTAGCTTATTTCTTAGGTTAAGAAATAAAATCTTCCTGCTGAGTCGGTTGGGATTTGACTTTTACCACAGCTTTAAATGCTGCACACAAGTGTTTATTTGGGGACTGCAATCCTTTTAAAAAGCAACAGTGCAGAGAGTCACAGATGCCGTAGGTGGCCGGGTTGTCATTAGGGCGGAGAAAGGGTAATAGTATGTTTGGCTGTAGAGCAGAGAAGAGAGTGAGAAGTCAGACACTAAGGCTGAGAACCACCTGGGCAGAGCTGCCGCGCTCCTGTGATACACAGAGTCCTGCAGCCATGACACTTGTCTGCCTCGTGTTGTCCGTGGCATCTGTGGAAAGTTTCCTGTCACCTAAAGCTCAATTCTGTGATCTTTAAACTCACTACATTCTGAACTCCTCAACTTGTCCACCTCCAGGATGGTGGGATTGCAGGTGTGCACACTGCCAGTCTGAGTTTTCCAAGTTCACACCCTTGTCTGCAGGTGCACTACCTCAGAGCCACACAGCTGTTGTTTGCGGCTCTTTGATCAAGGGTTGTGGCTGTTCCCAAAGCTTTTCTTACATAAGTCATCACATGAAGATGAAGGCTAGGAGTTGTTAGAACATCACATGTTCTTACTCTATTAGAGGGGGGTATAGAAACGAAGGGTGCATGCTATTCATGATGGCCAGTGCTGATGCTCTGCTTGTCTCAATGACCAGAGTGAGGGACTAGTAGTAATGCATATAAACTGCCATTCAAAATAAAGCTATCGGGATTGAGTTTGCCCCAAAGGAATTGCAGGTTAGGGTATAAATTTTAAGTCATTGTGACTAGGCTCAAGTATCCAAATTAAAACCACCACAATTGACTTGTTTTTGCCTATTATAAATGCTTACTTCTTCCTGTAGTGTAAAAACTCTGTGCCTCAAGATTTAATGAATTCTTAGAAAACTTTCCTCATCCTGCTGCCCCTAGAAGTGTCTTCCCTGTAAAAAAAAAAAAAAAAAAAAAAAGTCATCAAGAGCCTTGAAGCAAAGAGAGTCAAGTTAATAGGGTGGATGAGGCGAAACTGGTTAGATCACCTTCTGAAGCATTGGGTGTGTGACAGGAGGCAGGGCATTGCTGTGTGGAACGGGATCCTTTCTGTGGACAGCGCAGGGAAGCCTCGCAGCTTGCTGTGCATCTCATCCATTGAGGAGCTATCTTTCAGGTGGAAGGGTCCCACCATGTTCCATTGGGGTGATCAGCTGGGCAGAGACCACCAGTGACCTGGGGGCTTCTCAGTCCAAATGCTAAGCTGGCTGTCAGTCACATATCACAGTCCAGCGAAGAAATGGTTTCTTGTTACTTCATAGAATTAAGAGAGGGCAGTGGTCCAAAAACAAAAACAAAAACAAAAACAAAAACAAAATGGTTCCTGTCGGAAACTGCTTTCTGACAAGTTGGCTCATAATAGAGCTGACTCATATAATTCATATTGCATCCTTATATTTGGAGAAACTATACATTTGCAAACCTAAAAAGAATTGACAGCCTCCCCCTCCCCCCCACACACACCTGTCTCTCATCAGTTCACGAGGCTCCCACTTAGCAAGCTTTTTCACATTTCCAATTAGCTTCAGGGCAAAATGGCCACCATTTGGCCCACACTGACCTTCTCTCTGTGATGATAAGAGGATGGGCTTTAGCAATCACTCTCAACTGGTCATTGTCAACTCCGTGGCCACCATATGCTCCTCATGTTCAAGGTTCTGGTCTCTTTTGCAAAAGTTTGTTGAAACATTGCCTAACTCTATGCTCATGAGCACTTCCCAGACAAACATGTTTTTGTGTTCAAAGTTGTCTCTACTCCTCAGCCATCCATTTTGAGCTCAAATAAGAAATCCCTGAATTTGCTTTTTTGTCTGACATCATTTCCATTTTATATAATACTTGTAAAACAGACATATGGTAATAAATCATTAGGAAATGAAAGGAAGAGAGAAATGGGTGTTAAAGTTATCTATAACATAACCACATTTATTTAAAAATATTACTCCAATATCAAATGAGAAATTACAGCAATGGAAAAACCACAGTGAGTTTTGGACCAGCCTAATAAAATAATACGTCAGAAAGCATAACACAAAGCCAGTAGCTGTTTCTCCCTGGAACGCTGCTGGTGTGAAACAGCCTTTGTTTTGTTTGTGAAGTCCTTTCTAGGCATAGAATTCTTGGTGGAGAATGACTGCTTCATTCTCATCTGGTCCAGAGACAACTCAGATGTCAAATGCCGGTTCTGTGGTCTTATGGGTGTTTGTCAGGTTCTGCTCTGCAGAATTGGAAGGTTTGTGGCATACATGTGCATTCCAGAATGAAGTATTTTCTAAAGCTCCTTGGTGAGTGCTCAGGAAGTTGTAAGCACACTTTGTACATGCCCTTCCAGTGCTTCCTTGAGAACATCCTCCTTGCCCCATTCTCTTTAGTGCCCATTGATTTAGATATTGGCCTTTAAGACTGATTTTGATCTGTGTTTATCTTTTCTTTCTATCGCCTGCCTCTTTGACATTGTGTTTTCTGGCAAGGTCTCTTGAATTTGTGTCTTAATCTTTGTAGGGTATATTATGTCACAGACACAGACTCTGTCTCTTGTTCTGTTTCTTTCCCTTTTAAGTGTTTTGTTTTATGGTATGATGCAAGGTCGTAACTCGGTGAAGACACTCAGTGTAATTTCTCTGAATTTTTCTCCTGTAGCAACCCTTGTCCTCATCCACATGGATCTTTTCTCCACTCCCCTACCCCCCACTACTCTCCCCTTCCTCTTTCCTATTTTTCTTCCCCCTTTCCTCTTCTCCTCTCCTTTTCCCCACTTTTTCTCTTCTTTTCTCCATCTCTTCCTTTCTCCTGTATTGGTGCTGGGATTGAGCTGAAGGCATTATACCCCCTTGGGTCAGTAACTAAGGTCCCCAGACCCCCAGATTGTTTGGCTGGCTTTTTTCCCCAATGCTTAGGTCATGTACAAACCTTTCTGTTCATGTATAGAAATCCGCATGTTAGCAGCCTGTTAGCCTACTTCCTGTGGGTTCTGTGCAGCATCTGTAGGTCTTTTCTCAAGTGACCTTCTAACTTATCACAGAATGAGCTCTCAGTCTCTTATTTTGGGAGCATCATCCTGCCTACAATGCTTTAACACTGGCAGGATGAGGGAGTGAGAAGGCCTTTCTCATGCATTTTGTCACATCTCTTTCCACCCACGCTCTTCAGTGTCCACATTTGTAAAGCCTTTACTTCCAGCAGACATGTCTGTTCATTATACCGCCAAACTCCTTAGAGGAGAGTGAGGCACCTTGGGAACTGGACTGCTGTTTGTATAGTCTTCCCATCTCGGCAGCCCAGGCCCTCCACGGTAGCCAGGGTATCCATTGACGGTGGCCTACACGCCATAATTCACTTCTGATGTTGCTGTCGTTGCACACTGAGGCATTGCTGTCAACTCTGTAATATCTGCCACCACCTCCCCATTCGCTGCCTGCCGGTGTTGATATTTAGGCTATTGATGCTCCAAACAGTGTCAAAAATGAGCTTCTGTTTCTGTTTGTGGTTTTGGTTTGGTTTTTCAAGACAGGGTTTCTCTGTGTAGCCCTGGCTATTCTGTAACTTGCTCTGTAGACCAGGTTAGCCTTGAACTCACAGAGATCCTTCTGCTTCTGCCTCTTGAGTGCTAGGATTAAAGGCATGCCCCACCTTGGCTCTCTTTCTAGTTTTAATCTCCCTGTGTTGTTGACCTTTGGAGAGAAAGGTGCTAGAGATATAATTGTTTCTGTCTTGGTAGAGTGATCTGCAAAGAGTTTAGAACAGAGGTTTGAATAGGGTGAATGAAAGTAATGTTGTAAAATAAGATTAATTTTATTCTTCTTTTTATCTCTTTCTAACCTCTTAGCCTTTCTGTTCCTTTGCTCCACAGAGTGTGGGGGACTTGTTCAGGCAGGCTATGTAGGAGTTGGCTTCCATATTGATTAAACTGTACGGGATCAGTGGATGCTCTTCTGCCTCAGCAGCAAACATCCCTGGTGGGGGAGGCAGCAGCTGCTGCCTGGTGTCCTATCCTCCATCTGCTCTAATAGGAGAGTTAAAGATGATGTCTGTTCCTTTCTAGGTCAAATAATGATTGACCTTCACAGAGAGTCAGTAAGACAACTAACAATAGATTTCATTTCTCTACCTACTTTTGTACACCTTGCTTCCCAGTGCTGGTTAATGGGGGTCTCATTTGATTGGCCGATTTGTGGACACTGTTTCGTTGCAAGTGACAGGATTCAAACATTCTGCACAGGATTCCCTAGAAATCTCTTACTTGGTTTTAAGTGGATGAGACCTAAAGTAAGCACCTACTAAGCTCCTTGGTGACTAGTGTGGACATTTGACTCCCCTCTGTTTAGGATGTGGTCATCCTGTCTTCTGAGAGTTCTCCTGTGCTTGAACAAGCTCCCATGACAGTCAATCCTCCCTCCCTGGAATCGAGGGA